AGCCGCGTACGCGAGCGAGCCTAGATCCGCCTCCGCCCGTCAGCGCCGGTACGTTACCCAGCGCTGCTCCGGGGCGTCGAGGTGTAGATCGGCCCGCGCGTACGCTCGTCCCCGACCGTCCCGCTCTACCACGCTACCAGGGCCCGCTTCCCTGTCCCGTTAGCTGTGTGTTCTCCCCGTCTTCTCTCCCCCGTACAGGGTCTACGCCGAGCTAAGTATACACCCCTCTCCGTTGGGGGGTGTTATACTACAAGATACAGTTACAAACGCAGAAGTAGTGCACTTGTTTCAAGACATAGGAACTCCTAGCCACTCCTCGCTTCCGACGTGCACAGTTCCAAACGAACTTGATGAACGAACAGTTGCTACTGAGGATCATTGGTCATCTATTTTTTGTGAGAATGCCGTGCGGTTCTATGGTTCCTCCGAGATGCATTTGATGCAGTCTGAGGCTGTTGGGGATATTCAAAACGAAAGCTCGCTGGGAAGGACTGCAGCGCGAAGAAATGGAGGCCTGTCTTCGTGGAATTATAGCTCAGCATTTGAAAAGGTTGAATTAGGTTTTGATTGTATGAACAAATCTTTTGCAGAGCGGTTTGTATCTGAAAGCAATATGGTTCTGGACAACGTTCTTCACGAAGTGCGTCTGATATGCGGTATTAGAGGGACAACGTCGTTGACTTCAATAACATGACTTCAACTTTTTGAAATGTTTTTACCGGAGAGCATTGTAGTATAATCCCCCCCTGGGGCTTTTTGGTTAGATTAGATCAACAACGGGATCTAGTGCTGTAGAGCCCGATGCTCTACAGTACTACTGCGCGTGGCCACGTGTACCCCTCGGGTACCGGGCGCATGCGTGCACACGCGCACACGTGTACCGCGCGGGACGGAAGCGCGCGCACACACGTGTACTGTCAGCCACGATGGCTGACAGTATTACAGTACGGTCCGATCTGTACTACAGTAGTCCACTACAGTACTTCGGTACTGTAGTGTTATAGATTGTTTTGTATATTAAATATGGAGCGGACCGGCGGGGTGGAGGAAGACAAGCACGGACTTGTCACACACCGACCGTCAAGGTCCGACTTCCTGCTTATTGTAAGGTAACGCTCGCTAATTACCTTAGAGCGGCACCGAGCGCGGGTTGAGGACGCGCGCGGTACGCCCACGAGCCGGCTACGCCTCCGCCCGTCGGTACTGGATCGTTACCCAGTACCGCGCCGGGGCGTCGAGGCGTCGAACCGCTCGCGCGTACCGGCGTCCTCCCCGTTCCCGCTCTACCACGCTACCCGGGCCCGCGGCCCGGTGCCATTAGCTGGTGTCCCGCGTCACCCCCGTCTTCCCGATCGACAATGGTCTCGGTCGAACTGTGCATACACCCCTGTCGCTGGGGGTGTTTATGCTACAAGCATACTTCAAAAACTAATTGCACACGTGAACAGAGTGCTAAGAACGACTAAGAAAAATCAGCAACTCTAGCTGAGTTAAAGTGTGCCATTATAAGTCATGTATTGGCCGCTTCGTATGGTAGCAGTGTTGGGGTCATCGCTCCTGCGAACAGGGAGTTCTTTTACGGGACGAGAATAACTGGTGACCTGTATATGCAAATATGGTCTGCATTAAGTTGCACGTCCAGAAAACGGCAGCGAGTGCAGACATACGGCGAGGGTTGGTCAAATAAGCCTCTTCTTGGAAACTCTTTAATAACTGAACTAGAACAAGAATTTGCAGCAGTCAATAGGCGTCTTGTCTATATTCCTGGAAAGACAATATTTAGCCTGGACGATGATCACCAGCGACTCCGTTCGAGAGCAGTCACAGAGCTAACAAATCTTTCGCAAATCAACAATCCCCAGAAAGCTCTTGGCCCAGTCAACAATGCCGTGTGTTCCGCTCTAACGTCAACATTTATTGCAGGTCATTACTCGAGACCCTTAAAAAACCACCCACGTTTGGCAGCGCCTCGTCCAACTTATTCAAGGTGCTGCTACGCCTGGATCTATATCCCCTATGTGTGACGCCATATTTGCTTCAGATCGCGGCTATTACTAGCGAGAGACAATCTCTTTTATCAACGAACGGCTTGGTGCCACTGGCATGGGCACACACAAACGATCTCTTGACTATCCATTCGTCTTCGGGGACGGACCCGTAAGAAAGAGGCACAAAGGAGTGGTAGTAAGCGAACGTGGATGCCGGGCTGTATACTCGGCCACTAGGAAGCCCTCATCAAGTCAGGGAAAGTCCGTGCAAGCAGTTGTATAGCGTGAGAGCTGCAGTGGAAGAATTGCTGCAGTTTACCATAACAACTCCCGCTTGTTTGGTGCTCATTTGTTCACCGTCATTCCTAAAGCTGGGTACCAAAACTTTAACACCCCCCAAAATATTCGCAACCTTCACGAGGTATACAGCCCGGCAGGTACTGAGAACATCGCGGGGAAGGATCCTGATTCCAACGCGCTCGTCTTCTGGAGACAGGTTTCTTACTTTTCTGAAAGTGTCCCTGGCACTTCAGGAAGTTAATCACTTCACATTACTACAAGCAGAAGACCCAGGCTGGTTTCTTGCAAGAGCTTTTCAGTTCACGTCAAGAACAACGCACACGTTCATATCGTGTATTGCCTCTGACTTCGAGAAAAATATCGCCGCTCTTTCCTCTGTTATTAGTGGAATGGTCGTGATGGTTGGTGCAACTGCATTACCGCAAGACAATTCAGAAACTGAATTACTGATAAAAGAGAAGTGGGATGCCGTTATGGATGGATTGCGAATGCAAAAAAGAGCACAACCAAGCGCCACTGCCCAGCAAGCTTCGGTGGATCGAGTCATGACCTGCACTTCTGCGTCCTTGTCAGCGCTTCGAAAGGACGAACTGCTTACTGTACTGGAAAATGTAGGACACCGCCAACCTGTCTCAAATAGAAAGCAACAGTTAATTGATAAGATTATTCAGTTGCAGAGGAATGTGGCAGATGGAACAGAAACTTTAAATATCCAAAAGGCAAGCAGTGAAACACAGTCCGAACAGCAAAAGAAAAGGCTTTGTAACTCTCTCCTTGAAACTTCGTTAAACACATGGTTCATGAAGCCACTTATGAGCACTACGGGCATGAAGGAGGGATCATTTAATGAACACCGGGTTCTCAAGTCCCTAAAGATGTTCTTTGACAAAAACGAAGTACAGGATGTGACACGAGTCTGTACTGCGGGCGAGCCAAACATTCTAAATGCATTTGCGTACGATTACAAGATTGAATACTTGCAAACTGTTGGAATAATTGGCTCCAAGAGGGTGAAGTTAGTTGCTGGGAGCCCTGACGGTGTTGTGGCAATTTCAGATAATAAGGGGGACGTTTGTATCGCAGCGATTGGAGATAAAGACGATGACTGCCGTTAATACGATCGAGAAAGCAATAGAACTTAAGAGCAAGTACACTTCTTTGACTGTGCTCCCAAACATTGGTAGTAACCCGACATCTATGAAATTTTTCATGACTTGGTGCCGACTTCAAGCTACCGGCTGCAGTGCCTTCATCATAGTGCAGTGTTTGCTAAGAGAACTGTACTTTTTATTGTGGCAAAGGGAAGCAATATGGGCATGGGTTCTATTATTTATGGGACACTGTTGCAGTTTAACAATTCGTTTATTGCCGACTATTTGTACTGCATTTCAACCGTTCGTATATATTGTTTTGAATGGATTGGTAATGATGCAGAAAGTATAACCCTGCACCTAGATGAACTTTTGGTCAAGAGCCATGCAACGGATCTGTTCTCATACGCACCATTCTATAACCTGAGCAAATCATACAAAACGCTTGCAGAAAAAAATGGCCCCCTTCCCCCAGCTCGTATGATCAGACCTTCTTCGTTGATATTTTGGAACCCAACGAAAGGAGGTGTAGATGAATTTTCGAGAGCATTGAAACACCTATGCTATACTAACTCGTCTGAAACCCCCATTGTAAGTGTCATTGGAAGGCTTGTCTGTGCACAAATCAATAATGCGGCTATAGTGCATCGCCTTGTTGTCGCAAAACAGAAAGGCTTACTACCTAATAAGGGGGATCAGAACAGTCGAAACGGCAATAACTACACTGCATTAAGACATGACGTGTCCAGATGCGCGTCGTTCTCAGATTTTGCTAGACATCTAGCTCGTGAATGGGTTGAAAACTCGCAGTCTGTTACGGGGCCTAACGACCAGCCATATCGGGATGTCAGTGAATGTCATATGCCAGTTATAAGGCCGGTTTATGATAAAAAATGCGGCATCTAAGTATAATAGGCCAGCTGACAAAGAAAGGAGACTTTGCAGTCCCGAACTGCACACAAAGGCAAAAGGAAAGCTGCGTACTGCTCCTTGTGCTCTTTTAACTATAAGTTTGATTTACAAGGTGTGACATTTAAGAAGAAGGGTGGTTCAAAGGAGATCCAATGGTGTCTGTTATGTAGGCAACCGATATGTTGTTCAAAATGCTGGGACAAGTGGCACACGGACGAAGAGCTGCATCGGGCAACGGTTTCTCCTCACCAAAAAGAAGATTTTAGAGATAAGGCTTTAGCCTCACTGTCAGTTGAGTAAACACCTAGTCCGTATGAAATGATAGTGCTCTGGCAGAACTAATAATGTTGTTGCGATCCAAAAAAGACATGAGGACGCGTTTATATGCACAAGTTGGAATTACTACCCTAGCCAGTCCTCAACACCATGTCGTCATGCAGAGTGACGGAGTAGATGTTTTGGGTGATGAGCGTGAAAAGAGTGATCAATTTCGTGATCTGCGTGATTCTGCAGCAAGACGTTCACGTATTGACCGGGTGAACTTTACGCTGCACAGAGTGATGTTCACGCAGTAATCGTGATTCACACAAAATCACGAAATTTCACGCCCCGCGTGATCAATAATCATCACGCAGCTTGCATGGGGCTACTGTTGTCTCGAAAGAGACCACTGCAGAACAGTTATATTCATCTTACAACACAATCAGACCACTGCAGAACAGTTATATTCATCTTTACAACACAATCTACGAATGATCCCATTCTCCAGTATTGGTCATGCCGAAATTGTGCTATGTTGAGGTAACTAGTCACGAAATATGCATGCCACATGTATCGTCTATGGGTAGTAGCCCCCTTGTAATGCCCAGTACCCCGCGGGAGCACCACCAGGCCCATTAGGATATAGCGCTGAGGCTTGCGAACCCGCGTGAGAGACAGGTCGAGAACCAGATGCGTTTTCAGTCCTTCCACTGAGTCCTTCCCTGCCATTCCAGCCCATGTTCGTCCCGTTGTTTCCTACGAAGGTGTTGGTGCCAGCCCCCCCTGTAGTAGGTGAATATTCACTGTAAGCTACCCCGTGGACAAACCCGCCACCAACACCGAGTGGGCCAAGACTGCTCCCTGTCGGTGGGGGAGCTCGCATGTGCTTGTATGAAGCCTCACTGGATACTTTCTGAGTATTCGAATGAGATGATGGAAGGTAAGCCCCAGGGGTGTATACGCTTTCACCCATTCCTGAGCTCGACCGTGTTCGACCAAGTGTCACTGAACCGTCGTCAAACCCGAAACCACCCCGGGAGCTTTGTGCAGGGCCCACTTGTCCAGCATGAGGGTAGGGGAATTGATTCGGACCTGCCGCTGTCATGGCAGGTGGCGCTGGGTATGGTGCGTTCGGAAAGGCATAGACCGGATATTGGATCGAGGGATAACCTGGTAGCATGTATGGAGCTCCGAGAGGATCAATACCTGCAGGTAGGCCTGAAGACGAAAGCCCACAAGTGTCATCTATGTCAGCAATTTCGTGAAGGCTGTCTTTCCGTGTTGCACCAGGAACTGAAGGGACCGCAGGAAGGTCACCCAGTCCTGGGATACCAGCAAACTTTCCATTCCCGGAAGCTAGCCCGGACAGACTAACCGGATCGTTTAGTGAAAGTGACCCAGGCGGACCTGCTTTCAGTGATCTCGCGCTCCCAGCATCTCCAGAACTTTCGAATGAACCGATGGCTGGTGAGTACCCGTGTACCTGCGGTATCAAGTACGGTGGCCCATAGTTGGCTGTGGCGTAACTCCCCGCTGGTGCAACCGGCAAAACTGGAAATACTCCTGATCTCGCCGACTTACTCCCGGACGGAGACGATACGGGCACTGAGGCAGAGTTGGGCAACAGCTTGTCGGCCTTGCGATCAGCCGGACTTCCGATAGCTGCATGCACAGAACGAGAGACCACGGAAACTGCACCAGGTGTGTTACTTGGCGCATTCGACGCAGACCCGTGAGTAGTGACGGAAGGATCTCCGACAATACAGGAATCATCACCTTCGGTAACGGCTGATACGCTTTCTGATGACTTGCCTGATGCTGACCAGTTCACGCCCTCTAACCCATTCAAACCGAGAGAGCCAAATTGCAAACTAAGCGATTCTCCTACTCCCCCGCCCACCTTAAGACCGGATGAGCTTTCAACAGAGCCAAGCTGAGGCGCCTGGGCCCCCTCGATTCTCGACACATCTTCTGAAACTCTGTCCGATCGGGATGCCCACACACCTTGCACTATGGAGGGCGTACCCAGCTTTAATTCCTGGCTGGTGGTGGAGATTCTGGATGCCTGATCAACTACGCAAGGATTTGATGCCTCGTCCATAGTCGAATCGTATATCGCCGGTTTTGAAATGCGAGCCTCCGCGCGGACTCTAGGACTTTCATCATCGTTTTCGTCAGTAGCATGTAGCTCCTCCGACAATGCTTTGTTAACTGATGACACTTGCGACCTATCAACCGCCGGGGCGACCATGAGAGCAGGTTCTTTTCCATGCGCAACGTCCGCGAGTCCAGCCCTCTCTATACTGGCAGTGACCTCCTGCTCTACTTTGGCGTGGCTAGTCCCTGTCGCTACTGCTGCTGCGTAGTTGAACTTTCGTCTCAATATGCGAGTGTTATCTCTTTCTTCAGTAGGCATTGACGTTATACCACATTTTTTTGAGCACCCAGCCGCGATTGGAACCGGATCTGGTTCCAGATTCATTCTTTCGAAAGCGTTCCCACAATCGTCTCGAGATTGCCACACTTCTAATTTGTGAGCGCATGGTTTCTGCGCAACCCAGACCCCTTCTGCGGTACGTGTATCCAAGTTATTAACACTGTGATCTACCTCCGGCCACATGCCTGCATGTGGCGAATCGGAATTGAAGACGGGGCTGTCATTCCGTTGACGTGAAAGTCGCTGGTTCTCAGTCTCTCTTGTAAACAGCTTTTCAGGCCTTTCATGCTTTTCGAAAGGTGTGGCGGAAGGGTTGTCCTCACGGGAGCTGTCAACGGTACGGCTCTTGGGGAACGAATTCGTGGATGCACCCTTGTTCCTATGCGTTGAAGGACGTTGAGTGCGTCTGTGACCACTGCGAACTGCATTGGTGCCAAAGGACATGTGAGGGGTTTGATTATTCTCGCCGGTGATCTTAGAGAAGGACCGGGATACTGGGCGATAGACGATCTTCTTCTTTTTTGATACTTCTGACCAGACTGATACGCCTTTGCCACTAAGAAATCTCTCTATGGCCATAGCTTCATCCATTCGACAAGCCTCGAGGACTCTGATCGCCTCTTCTCGAGATACATTACAAACTTCTGTGATGTTTTGTAGTTTGTCCTCATATGTACCAGTGATATTGCTAGAAGCATGGGAAAGGATAGTTCCGTCCATATTTCTGAGACAAGTGGTGGAAGGCTGGGTCGAACAAGTGTGGATTAGAAAAAAGCTGCTGTAAAACAAAACGTCAGGACCATAGTGTGTGTGAGCACGGTAAAAGGTAAGGCAGTAGACAACACAATATGTGTCAGAAATGAAAATCCCGTGTTAGTTGTTAGGGTATATGAGAGTCCGTGACGACACCAGAAAACTATGACGTGCGTCCCGGGAAACCAATTTCTTTGGCAACGATAAGATTGCCATAGTGCACAAGTGTGGATAGATGCGAGAGTATGTACCCATCGCCTCAGCGCATTTGAAGAGCTGTTGAATATACGGTCATTTATGACCAGTGCTCGCTGCGCGACAAGATGATGTGACCGGGGGGCATAAGGAGAGAACAACGTACCACAAAGCGAAGCGGGCCTTTTGGGCCGCTCTTGATCCACAAGACCGAGTAGAGCTGTTTTCACGGCGTTGAGACTAAACAGAGGTATCTGATTGCTATCTAGATGGAGGCGGGTTGTAGGGTGGGGCGCATGGGACATGCAGAACGAAAGAAATGGAAAAGCGGGACGATGCTCTACTCGCACTCCACACTACAGTTCGACTAAAATGGCCGCCGCACCGACTGTCCACAGGTAATGCCAGATTCGGCCCAGCGACAGCCGTACTGTAAAGCAGCTGACCGTTCAGATTGCTCGTATCGGCGCCCTATTAGGCCACAGGGGGGACGCGCAATAGTGCCGCTTTTGTTACTGCCACACTCGGATTAGTGCCGCCCAAGATTGGCAGACACAGGTCGTGCCACGTGTCACAGACGACGTCGTCGTCCAGGGTTGTGTGGGATCTTTGGAGAGTCTGGGTGTGGGGTACGATGTGAGCAATGCTTTATCACTCTGCAAAACGAGCCTTTTTGGTTGGAAGCTACCCTTGTTTCCGACCCTCCCTCTCATGCCTACCCACATGCCTACCCAAGGGTAGACATGTTTACCCTCTCATGTCTACCCAAGGGTAGACATGAGAGGGAGGGTCGGAAACAACAGAGTTTTGTTGGCCGAGCAATGGTGCACCCCACTGATCACTACCGCTCCGGATTAGTGCCGTTTTTCTAGTATTCAGTGAATATGTGTGAATACTATTCACACATGTGTGAATACTATTCACACAGGGCGGCACTAATGCGTAGGGTCCACTGTATTGGGAATGGAGGCATACAACAGTGAAAAGCGCTACGCTGTATCTATGCTATGCCTATGCGTGCTGTGTTGGATTTCGAACCTTCGGCAAATATTGCATATTTCATCTTTTGGTTTTTGGTTTCATCGTCAAAAAAGACGAGTTTATGATTTAAGTGCGCTCCTGCCTTTTTGCACAGTGAAGCTTCGTATAGGAGCAAGGGCTCTTTGCCGCACCGCAAACTGTCATTTCAACGGGGGGCACCGTACACTTGAAATCTGTGAAATCTGAGGAATGTGAGCAGGATCCAGTGCCCTACCCGCCTAAAACATGATTCTGATTTTTGTTGTGTACAGTAATTCAGCAGCAGAACCCCCCCACACTCGCCTGCCAGGTGTGGTTCACATTCCTTTCCCCGTCAGCATTTTGAGCTCCGGTATGCGTTGTGCAACAAATGCAAAATCCTCCGGACTCAGTAATTCCACAAACAGCTGCGCACCGACTTCAGCGTCTACTGGTATTGGACTTTGTAGCAAGATTGATTGTCGTGCAACTTTTTCGGCCTCTGTCCTTACCGCCATGCATGGATCATGCATGCATCGCACAATACTTTCAACGCAGACACCCAGCGCAAACTTGTTCTGGACTACACAGCTCTCTAACGCTCTTACAGCCATCTGTCGAACACCAGCTTCCTTTGCACTTTCCGCCACTGCACAAATCTCTCGCAGAATAAGTCGACCCATGTCTGCCTTGGGTCCATTCAGTTTCAGCTTTCGCTTCTCAAAACTGAGAGCGCTGATAAGTCTTGCACCAGCCCCACACGCGGCTGACTGCACAGCTGAACAATTGTGCTTCAGCCCAAAACATAAGATTCGTACAACTCTCGTCAACTCATGTTTCTCAACATCATCGGCACACTGTCTCGTTGACAGTATGGCCCCGAGAGCATGAAATGCCGCCGCTTGTTCCAGCTCTTTTCCGTGTTCTAATTTCGCTAGGACCAACTTGACTATGATCATGTATTCTTCTTCCTCGTCGCATCTGCATACAGCCGCCAAAGCCAGTCCTGTCGTATGTCTCACTTCAGGACTGGCATCAGATAACCCGGTCAGCAGGCCTTGCGCTTTCTTCACAAGAGCACCAGGGCTTCGTGCGCAGTTGTCCAACACTTGACAAAACGACTCCAACGCAGCCTTCTGTAACCTCGGGGATAATCCACCGATGCCCACCGATATCAATTCTTGCAACAGCGCATCTATTCTTAACACAACAGGAGCAAGTGCACCAAATGCTAAGCAAGCCTTTCCTCGCAACAACGGGCTGCTTTCGTTAAGGCTCTTCAAGAACATATTTTGTAGCTGCGGAGAAAAAGTTCGCAACTTCGACGGAGCTATCCTCAGCAAGATTGTGAGATCCGTGAGCAACGCGACTTTCACTTGCCATGGTATTCGATCGGACATCGCACGGATCAAAGGTCCACAAAGTCGAAGGGCCAAGGACCTCACCACATCCAATTCAGTCATTACCAGCAACTCCCCTATTGCCAGGGCAGCTTGTTCCTGCAGCGCCACCTCCCCCCTTATTACTGCGTTGGAAAATACTGAAAAGAACAGGCCACATGCTTCTGCAAACCGATTGTCCAAAGCGCAGCCACGGATTCCATTCGATTTTTGCTGATCACGGACTGCTCTTAGCGAGCGTCTCATGACTGGGATGTGCGCTACCAGCGTTGCGCTAGGTACGACCGAACATAGATCCGACAAGGCTTGAGAAGCTCCTCTCGTAACCAAATCAAAAGAGTCCGCAAGCTGTCGAATGAGCGTATCCAGAAGCTTTCCTGCAATCCTGGAAAGCTGCTCTGCACTACCACTTCTACACAACATAATACAAGCCTGGCCGGCAGCAATTCGAGGTCCTTCATAAGTTTCGTTGTATCGCAAGAGTATTTCATCACAGGTGATGCTGGACGCACTCTCACAACATGAGATCAATGCACTCATCAGTCTCAACACGGAAACGTGATTCGCCAGACCAGGCGATGACTCAATAGAATCAACCAGGCAACTAGTGACACCTGCAACATACCCTTTGAAGTCTGCCGGGGCAACTGTTGCGGCGACAGTTAGTACTCGTGCTTGTTTTGCTGTTAAAGAAGCTTGCAGAGTTGCGCAAGAAACAATACAGGGCATGAGTTGATGTCCATTTCTTAGTAACATATGTGAGAGTGCATCAAGGGCCACGTCAGAGCTTGTCTCGTCATCTGCCGCTTCTTCAATCAGCCCGGGGATGACATCGTCAATGATAGCGTTGCCCAGGGGTCTTAGTAGTGATGAAAATATACTTCCAGCAGTTTCTCTAACACTTTGTAGCTCACTGCGAAGTCCGTCACAAACAGAGCCTATCAAATCTTCGGCGTATTCCTGCAACTGTAGCTTCGGACTGGAGCGGACCAACTCCCGCACACCTTCACACGCACCGTGCCGTTGCCTCTCCGAAAGCGCATTGTCCTTGAGACCAGTTTTGAGAATGGGGAGCACAGCGGGCACGACTCTTTCACCAAGCTTCTGGGCAAGATCTCCCAACGCTCTCCCTGCAGACACCCTGCTCTCTTCGTCATCATTTGCAAGGCCATTAACAATTTGGTGGATTGCGGCTGGCATTACGTCGCGCAATGTTCGAGGCGAATTGGAAACTATTGTCTTCCATACATGCACTCCCGCCTGTCGAACGTAAATACTGGTGTCACATTTGACAATGTACAGCGCAGCAAGCAATTCCTCCAGCTCCGTACTCTCAAGAACAAGCGAAATTCTTGTCATGGCAACATCTGCCGTGAGGGCGGCTGCAGCGTCTTCTGGGGAATCAAAGAGAGCGCTTTTCTGGTCCTCATCCGTCTTTTTTTCAGGCACATCAAGATCAGACACAATTTCCACAATTCCTTTAACATCGTTTCCGTATCCAGTTGCACCTGGGATTTTACATACACTGAAGTGTTGTGGGCTGCACTCTGCTATCACAAGAAGCATATTCCCGAGCAATTGGGTACCGGCTAGGCGGATCCGCCATGCGTTGTCCCGCATCGCAGAAAGGAGACTGCCCAGAAGTGTTTTGCGAGAAGAGATTGCGTAGGCTGTAACCAGACTTCTGCCAGCCTTCAAGGCAGCATCCCTTACGCTGTCTGCATCGTCCGCCAATCCCTTGAGAACCATATCAAGAACCGTGGTCATTTCGTTCTCGAATCTCTCACCGAGCACTTGGGGAACAGATGCAATGAAAAGCAATCCGCCTTCCCTTGCTTCTGTCGAAATCTCCCCAGAAATCTTTATCTTGGACAGGATATCACGAAGCCTTTGTTCAGGGAGAGACGTCGTTATTTCGGCAAGACCCATTGCAGCACCCGATCTCTCAACACTGGAAGTCACTCCTTTTCCACGATCGCCAGCGTTTTGCGACAGGGACGAAGGCACAGTTCCTTCTAAAAGCTCACTGAGTAGCCACTGCACAAGTCCGTCTAGGCTCTCTTCCCCAAATGACGCTGCCAATGCTCCTATTGCTTGAGCAGACATAAGACGTACCTCCGGTATAGCGTCAAACAGATTCATCCTTAGTGCCCGGAGCAACATGTCCAAGTATGGAAAAACATCTCCTGGGTCTGAGACATTGCCGCAAATCGAACCGATTATTGCTGCTGATTTCTTTTTCAAATCTGAGGAACGATCGCGCAGCGCACGATGCAAAAGAGGAACCAGCAAGGCAAGAGAAGCAGTGTCAATTGTGTGCATGAATTCTGAACTGAGAATCCCGTCAATAGCACCTTTCGTTTTCACCGTAGGGTCTCGGAGGGCAGCAAGCAAGAACGGAGACAAATTTCGAATCTCTGGATTCTTAATGACAGCTGCCACACGACTCAATGCCGACTCAGAGGACTGTATTACTCGTGGATGGACATCGGTGAGTGCATTTGTCAGTATAGGGACTATCTCCGGTAGGCACTGCGACAGTTGCCTCGGTGCGCAGAACGCCATAGCTCCAAGAAGCTGTGCGCTGCCGGCCTTTGTTCTCCATTGCTTACCCCTCAAGCCAGTGACTAAGGATGGAAGAATCATGGAAACGCCATGTGATGAAGCTTCAGCCATTGACGCTCTTGCAGCTGCCCAGCACGCGTTTCGCACTTCCGACAGAGAATCTCCCATGCAAGACAATAGCAATGGTATTGTGGCCACTATAAACGGTTCAAATTTCCTTCCCATTATTAGCGCATGTGTCTCAACCAGTATCAATCCAGTTTGCCGTCGATGCGGAGACTTACTGGAGACAGCGTCTTTTATTCTCGACATCGTCCGCATTCGCTTCATAAAATTCAAACCCATACCATGGCAAACACCTGCTAGAGCGCAAGAAGCGCCCCGTCTCACCCCATAGCTCACCTCCTCGTCCCAGATGCGAGACATAAGCGGGTCAAGAATTGAATTGGGGTCACAACTACAAAGCCAGGCCTTCGCCAGAGGAACCAAACATCGTCCAGACGCGTTTTGCACAAGCTCCGACGGAGTTGCCACAGCGCTCTTCATCATCTGTTGCGCTATGAGTGAAATGCGTGAGTCACTTGGAGAAAGAAATTGAGCGACATCTGCCAAGCATGAAATCAGACACTCTTGTCGACCATCTGCTAGTCTTAAGTCTTCTTCCGACGCATATGATGGGATTGCTTGGTTAAGGCGCAATTCAATTAAGGGTATCAAGAATGAAGGCCCGTCACTTCTAGAAGCTCGAGCAAGTGCAGAAGCGGCAGTTTTCATCACAGCCTGTACCTTCTCATTTGGATCTAAGAGTCCTGAGTCCAAGAGGAATTCGAAGCAGTCGCAACACTCTGCCGTCACCAATAAACCATTCCCCGACATTGCCTTAATGGTAAGTGCAACGCCTTCCCTCGTCACCCACATGCTGTCGCGAGAGTACCTGCCATCAAAGCGCCGATCTCTCATTTCCGAAATAGACATCCGCTTTCCGTTCCCTTCACTTCCAACCGTTTTCTCAGGCATCGCATGCAAGTACATCTCGAAAAGCTTCGAAATGATGGCTCTTTGAAGGTTCTCGTCTCCAGATGTTTCGAGCGAAGCAGCTGTGGCCTTGGCTGCCATAGCTCGGATATCACTCTCCGAATCCTGGAGAAGAGTCAGCAAGCAAAGAGTGTCATCCAGAACATCCAGCGGATGACGGTACAGCTTCCAGAGCTCTTGAGAGAGTCTTGCGTTTTCGTCTTCTGTGTCAAAACATGACAACCATAAGACACGTCCAAGGGCACTGTCATGTGGGCATCTTATTTCTTCGGAAGCAAAATGAGGAAGGTGCCCTATAGAAGCTAGAGTTGCAGCACGAACAGATCCATTTCCAGACAACGCCCCTCTCAAGACTTGAGCAAGCTCACCGGTTCCCGGCGTCAAAAAGTAACTTGTCATGCACACCAATACTTCAGCAGCCGAAACAAATGCTTCATCTTCTCGCTCTAGAGCCGAGATGGCCCACGCCCCAGCACCTGACTCCACTGCAACGATGGCTGAGTCAATGGCTTCTGGCTTGCTTTGTTCGAGGAGAATTTCAATTGCGCCCTTCACAAGAGCTCCCTCGCTTCGCTTTTGCCGTGATCCCGCCATACGGGCCCCAGATGCATCTCCCAAAGGCCTCAAGCCGCGAAGGAGTGTTTCACGCAGAATTGGCATGACGAGCGAAAAATCTCCTTGTTCAAGAAAAGGGGGAACACACCGTTTCAGCCCAACAATGATCCTGGACACGCTGTCAACGACTCCCACCCCTCGTCCCAGGCCATACAAGCACGTGCAAATGTCTGTTCGAAAGCTTTTCAAGCGTTGACTTGAGACCATGACTATTGAATGCAGCGCTCGCCTGCACTGTACCTCTAGTTCGTCAACCTTTCCTAGAGGAGCAACTAGAGAGAGGAGCATGCCTATAGATCCGTGGGCACTTTTTGGCGCCTCGAAGACAAGCATCTGGATTACCTCGAGGAGTATGTGGAATTCTCTCTTGTGCCTGTGTGAATTATTCTTCTTAGTCAAACTGGGCTCTCTGTTTTCGATAGTGATGTTTGAGTGGACGTGAGGAAGACCCTCTCTGCTTGTGATTCTAGCTGTGTTGCTCATTCCCCTTGCACTGACATATGCTTCTGCAGCATGTCTTTGTTGGTTGAGGCATTCATCCTCAGTCAAGAGTTGTTGAGACTTTTCACGGCCAGACTCTTCCACACGCTCCGTCGTTACAGCGCGAACCGCGTGTAGAAACAACTCTTCCACACGCATCAAAGAGCTCTGAAAGACTCGATTTGAGTACGGATTATGGGTATGTGCAAGGGCTCGCAATGCATTGAAGGCTGCCGATGAGGCGCCGGGATCTTCACTAAATAGTCCTCTGGGACCAATAAACCGCGTAATGCAACTGTCTAACCAATCTCCATTGCAGCCGCGAGAGCTGGTGTTGTCTGGTGAGTCGAAATTTCGCTCAAGTGATACCCAATATCTTGATAGGCGCGAAGGACAACCTGGTGCAGCTTGCTTGGCGCAAATCCTAGGGTGATTCGCAGCCATGGCGACTGCCGGTATGATGTCGCTCGGCACTCCCGGCATAGCCACAGCCAAGAGAATGTTCCCAATCCGTTCAGCAATCACGTCACGGTTTCCAAAGTTACCGCTGACCGCAATTTTATCGCTTGTATAGTCGCCTTCAAACTGAGTACCCCAGAGCACTGCAAACATCATTTTCACATCGACGCCCTGTTCCAAGAGCTCTCGAACTTGCAAGATCGCCAGTTTAGCCAGCTCTGCCTTTCTGTGTAGACAGAATCGAAACGTTGTCGCTATGGAGAATTCAGTAAATCGATCAAAAGCAACGAGACGCTTGCAACAAAACAGGGCACATCGCACATCATCGGCCGTTCCCTCGTGAAATATACCCTTCGAATCGACCGCCGCTCTACCAAACAGTCTGTGCAGTGCATTCCAGAGATTATCGAAATCCTCTAAAGTGCGAGTTTTAGGGCTGCAGACAAGGAGAGTGATTGAACGCAAGCAGTCTTCTCGGCTTGCTTTCCCATGGGAATTGACTATCGCTTGTACTGCTAAGAAACCTGTTTCTCCTAGCAAATCCCACATCAGAGCTGGCATTGGATTCGATCCCGTCAACCCAGTCAGCAAAGCCGACTTAGCCCCTCCCCAACATTCTTTGGTAAGGATGTCGACAAATATAGTAGAACATCTTCGAAGAGATGATGGCCACTGACCGCGGCCAAGCCAGCGAACCATAGCCCAGCAAGCAAACTTGGACATCTCTGAGACGATTGCGAATTGAATGTCATCATTTACCGCTTTCCGATCGCAAATCCGTTGCTGCATGTGATCTAGCGTTGTTGAGATGATCACCGAATCGCCTATCATGGAGAAATCTTCAGCTGCAGAAGACACATACGCTCGCAAGCTTCGCACGATCGCAATTTTCTGGTATGCATATTTCGACACTTTGAAGCAATCCAACAGCAATGAAATGCCGATTCGAAACACCTTTTCGTCGTGAATGCAATGGCCAAGAGATGCCGCAAATTGAACACAAATGGCTCGCATTTTCTCGTCGCTGCCTTTCAAGCCCTTCTCTACGGCTCTGAAGTATACTTTCGCTTCAGTCGCTAAGACTGTCACATCGAAGATCCGGAACAAAGAACAAATAGCGGGCAGCGCGACCTCTGGCTGCCTTGCCAAAGCCCTTTGTATCTCAAAGAATATGCCGGGATGAGCAAATCCCTCCCCAGCTCCTTTCAAACGAGCAGCGGGCAACTCGCGGATACGGTTGGTGATGCAGACATGGGACTTCATACAAAGCGCAACAACCGCTTTGACAACTCGAAAGTGGTGCTTTGATTCCAACTCTAATGGTATTGCGGCCAGCAAACCGACAGCAGCAAGGCCCTCAAAAGAAATTCTCACAGACGCCTCAAGAGCATCGAGTAAGAACGTTGCCAAACTAGTCTCATTGTTAACCATTGCTTCGCGGGTGACTTTGAAGTAAGCCGTGTGCAGAAAGCGACGGCGTTTTTTCTGTGAATTTCCTTTCTTAGCGTGTCCTCTTTCAATCGCGCCTAGCGGGACCAACATCAACTCCATCGCCATGGCGGCAGATGCTTTCTCTTTGCAGAAAAATGCTCCACACATTGCAAAAGAGAGGGCGGTTTTTGGCGTGGGAACATTCTTTTGGAGTAATTGACGTAAACTAGCAACGTCTATTTCGGAATCTAAATGCGACAGTAGGTTTTCATTCTTGAGGTGTAAGAAGTAAACACTAAGGCGTTCTGGGAAAAAAGAATCATCCGGGCACCGTGCTTGACCTTTCAAAGAGTCGCCGCGTGAATGTGGCGACGAGCAGTCCATAGCCCTGGATCTTACGTGGTGTAAATTGCCGTTGGCGAAAAGATTGCTTGTGCTTCTCGGCTTGAACCAAGGAAATCTGAACCGATAACAAGGATGGTCGATGCGCAACCTTGCTCCGTTCTCGATGTTAGAGAAAGTCCCCCGCTGCGGCAGATCGCGACTTTGTCGTTATCGTCGTTACGTGAGGAAAGGTTTGGGTCCGGACCCTGGCATGGCGTGGTTTATCCCCAGGCCCGAAGTCTCGAGGGACACGAGTGTGAAATTCCGGTTGTTTTTTAAATTTCGTACACAACGTACACATGTACAGTAGCTGTGCACAGTACACTGATCACAGCAATTAACCTGGGCCAACTTAATTCTGAAGCCCCTTTTTCAGGTCCATAACCATATTTAACATGGTCCAGATTAATTGTGAACCCAGGTTAATATATGGTCAAATCAGATATAACATGGTCCAGTTTATTTTTGAACGACTGTATTAACCTTGATTTCTAACATTGCTGGCAAGTACTCAAGAAATTACGGCTCGACTTCTTGCCCATTGAAATGGACACGATGCTTGGATATTATCGCCTGCAGCTCAGAAGAGAGCTGCTTCTCTTCCCAAAGACCATTTAGATTAAGGGACAATCCCGTTCTAATCATTGACTTGCGTGCAAACGAAACACCATTCTTATCACGCTGGTTGTTAACTTCCCGAACTGCGTTTGCAGCAAGCTTCAAAAAGAAGCCCTTGCCTGGATTCTTTAATTTTCCACTTGCGCCAGGCCCACTTCCCATCCACGAACCACGAGCAATTTCACCTGCCTTGTAGGTATCCCATTCTCGTCGACAAGCGTCCTTAATTTTAGATATAGCGAAGGAGTCGGCTGGCTGAACCAGATCTGTTGCATTCAGGGGAAATTTCCTCAGCTCTGTCTTGATTTCTCCCAGGCATTTTTGGACAGATTCGTTCTCATTGTGGCCAGAACAATTGTCTACAAATAGAACCCTTCTTTGCGTGTTTTGCAAAGCTCGAATTGCCCTTGGTTCGGAAAGCCATTCTTGAAAGACTCTGTTGTCCATCCATCCCTTCTTACCGGATCGATAACAAACCCCTGGAACTGTGTCGGGAACTGCCCGAATGGGGTACGAACAGTTTTCGTTCTTAAACACAAGCATCGGAGCAATACATGCGTGCGGACCCCCTGTGATTCGAACCATCATCGTAATACGCTCATCACCCGATACGACATATGCATATTTGACGTTTTCATCCCCTCTTAAACCGATTGTGCGACCACTGTCCATGTTAAACACGAACTGAGTCTCATCGTCATTCTCAACGAATTCCTCTTGAAGTTCTCCGCTTTGAAAAGCTCGTTTCAGGTACCTCATATAGTAGGCAATAGACTTCTCTATATATTCTTGCTTTTCTGGACTGACCGCCAGTTTTCCGGTTTGATGCCTGGTAACCAGATTATTTGCCATCATGAACACCTAGATCCATCGTGTTGTGATCTTTTCCTAAAGGAGTTTTCCTTTTATACGCACTGTCGGGGCGAAAGGCGACTGTGGCCCCGCTCTTTGTATAATAGACATGCCAATATGGCGCAGCACTTGGGGTGTAATCTTTACGCTTGCTGCTCGCAATATCTCGAAAGCCGTGAGCAGTTCTTTGTATAATGCATCAACCCAAACTTGTCTTTTGCGTCCGCGTCCCTTAAAACATTTGATGTTGTGCCTCAATGTTTCGTTCTTCGCAAATCCCACCATTTTACCCAAACCCTCCCCTGCGATCCCAAAGTTCGTGTACTGCGATCTCTTGCGCACCACGTGCTAGCTTTCATGATATTGGCCTTATACAGCGACGCAAACAAATGTGGAAATTCAAGAACTGTTCTGGCGAAAAGCCCTCTCCGACCATTCGCTTCTTGGTCTTTTTCATCCAATCAACAGCAGAACGGCGTTGAGAAAGCGTGCACACGAGGTGTTGCTGGCGATTTGCCGGCGAGGTGGCTGCTGTTTGTTGCAGGTGCGGGGTGTTTCTTTGCTCATGAGGAGAGGAATCTGTGCCACTTTGTATGGCGCTTTTGCTAGTTGTAGTGCAATACGCACCTGAAAAGGGGGTTGAAAAGAAAGAAAAATATTTGGATATGAAAAGTAGTCCGGGTTGGGGGACACACGTGTGAATAATTGCACAGTTTTAATTTTTAATTATTTTATTTTATTTAGTTAATTAGTTGGCATTAATTTTGCTGACACTAGATTAGATCTAGGATCTAGCGCCGCGAGCTACTGTAGTGGCTCCGGCGAGGCGATATATACCTTAGCCCTCTGACCACCAAGTCAGTAAAGGTAACCCGAGTTGCCAGAGTTGAATGTCGCCTTGGTCGAAGTCCGTCTCTACCAAGACGCTCCCTTTCACCTAAGCCTACGGCATCCTTCAGCGCTCGGGGGTCCCATTCCTTTTTCTTATCCTTTTACCTTTTCTATCTCTAATTCCTATCCTTTTCTATCTCTACCTCTATTTTTCCTTAATTCTGTTGGTTCCATTGGAGTCGGTTGCGACCGATCCGGTGTAGGTGTTTTAGCCATCGGGCAACACGTTGTGTAGCGCTGCTACTGTTTCAAGTTCCGTAGGAAGGCTATTGTAACGACGCCTCCGTCGAAGGTCTTACTGTATAAGACAGTGTTGGTACCGCCTACCGCGATCGCGATCGCGCTGGTGAGGGTGTTTTCAGCCATCGGGCAACACGTCAGTAGTAGCGTTGCTACACGGTTACGATCCCGTCTGGTAGTGCTGAACAAGCCCCCGTCGAAGACCTTGAATTACACACGAGGTGCTGAAGACGCTCTTCGAGCATTGGCCTTACAATCCAGCGAACCGCGGTTACATTCTCGTAGACAAGCCCAACCCGCACTCGTCGAGCGCTCAAGTCTTCACAAGTCTCTACCACCATTATCCTCCCGGGCCGGGTATCTTCCCTTGCCCCCCCGTCGGAGTCGAGCTACCGTGGGCCGCAAGCCCACACACACAAAGGGAAAGGCAGTCTCGAACCTCCGTAGCGCGTGCCATCGGCAGTGGTTGTTGCTGTTGTTGTTTTTCTTCTTTTTGTTTGACCGTCGGACTGTGTTCGCGGCCTGCCAGGCACACTGCACTACAAAAGTGGTCTCCCGACTTAGAATTGTCTACAGAAAACCCGACCTAGAATTGTATCGACGACAGTCTCGGTCTGGAGTTGCACTACAAAAGTGGTCTTCCGACCTAGAATTTGTTCTGTCTACGACAAGGAAGTGGTCTGGGTAACGGAGTCTCTTTTTTATTTTTTGTTTGTAACTTTTTTTGTGTAGGTTCGCTCGTACGAGCGATGTCGGCAGGCGCACCCGCGTACGTCGGTCCCGGGGCGAGTAGGAGCGGATCGGCAAGGGCGTCGAGGATCCCGCGAGGTCCTCGCACCCGAAGCCAGGCCAATACGGCCACGGATCCCGAAGGTCAAGAATCCCCGACGGGGATTGAAGCCGACATAAGGATAACCTATCCTACAGGTTCGAGAACATGGGCGAAGAAATTCGCCAAGAGATGACGAAAAATCTCGAGGCTGAATTAGCCCTCGTCCGGAAGCAACTGGAGTTGCAAACATACGAGTTCCAGGCCGTTTTAGGAGAGCTATCGGCTCGAGTGGATCTCGTCGAGAAGGAGCGAGGTGATGCGACCGACGGTCTGGAGCCGGAGGTCCTAGCTTCGTTGAAAATTTCAGTCAAGGACGCGAGGCGCGACGCGAATCAAGCTTTGGAGTCCTTAGGTAAATTTAGAAGCAGTATCGACGACAGGTTTGACGGCGCCGCTCATCGTCTCAAGGACCTTGAACAGGTCGCCGGGCAAGAGCCGCTCCCAACGGGTCGAGAGGGCGACCGTCGATCGAAGAAGGACAAGGCCGCTGTACAGCGGAGTTCCAAGTCGAAGACTTCGAAGAAGAATCTGCGACACCGGAGCAAGAGTCACGGTAGTGACGAGCCGGAGGACCAAGACTCAATGACCGAGTCGACTGGCCTTTCCGAAGATGGTGACGACGGTTCGTCAAACCATGCCAGCGATTCCGAACATCGTTCAGAGGAAGGAAAAGGAATTTCGCAGGGCAAGAAAATTACCTCCAGACGGGGCGGGATAACTTCGTCCGCCTCGCAGAGAGACAAGGACGCTGAGACAGAGGACGTCGCAACGCGACGCGGGCCGCGATGGGAGGAGTTGGAGGAGCTGAATCCGACCAACTACCTCTTCAAGAAATTACTTTCGTACCGAACGTACCGCTTGCGGAACCCACAGACATATTTGTCAAGTTCCCGGCGGACCGCCGTGCGAAAAATCAGGAGAGATATTCCACCTAAGATGAAGAAGGACAACACGTTCACAGGTGAGGACGGGGTCCTTGTGTTGGATTTGTTGGCAAAATTAGTTCAAGAGTTCGATACTCAAGAAATGAACGAGGGGCAAGCGATCCGTTTGTTGCACGAATTTCTAAGCGGCATCGCCTTGAGACAGTACACTTCGGTGTCTCAGACGGCCGGGTCCCATCACGGAAAGGTGTCCGTTTGGCCGGAGCCCGTACAGTAGTTGTTGAGGAGTTTTGCAACCTACGAGGCGATCCGTCAAGCCGTGCTTGCATTGCGAGAAGTACAGCAGCTACCGTCTGAAGACGAGATGGAATTTTATATCCGTCTGACGGACGCGAGCAATCGATGTGGAAACGTATATTCGATGGAAGAACAAATGACGATGTTTATTGAAGGACTCGATTCGAGTATCAAGCCGATGGTATCTCAATACCGACAAGACAATCGGGACGTTTCGTTTTTGAGACTAGTTAATTTCGCGAAGGCGCATGGCTTGGCGAGCCGCGCTAAGGACAAGAATACCAAGGAGGTCACGATTCAGACGCCGTCGACGTTCAGGGCGGGGAAGAAGCCGAGGGCTTCTTATCCCGGTCGTAAAGGTCACGGCGCCGTCCACTTAGCCGAGTCAATCTCCGCATCAGATGAACGCCATGCGCACGGAAGCAGCGAAAATCATTATGAAGGAGCATTGGTAGCCGAAGGCGAGTTCATTGAGCCCTCGGAGGGCTAGGGAAACGAGGACTACGGGGCAAGCGGGTCGTCAACTTTACCGACGCCCACATACACGACGGAGTCGTTTTCAGAGCCCACGGATCCCGTGATGATGTTCCGGGGGCGCGGCCACACGCCGGCGCCGCGCATTCCGATGGAAGACAAGGGTACAACGTTTCGAAGGCCAGGCTGGATGGGAAGGCCGCAACATCAAGGAAGGCCGCCGGCCCATGGAGGACCTAGGCCGCAATATCCCGTCAAGAAGCACGGACTGGTGTGCTATCATTGTTACGAAAAGGGGCACGCCGCGCCAACGTGCATTCTTTCCCTCCGGGAAATGCACCGAGTTTTGGAAAATTATGAGGCGTTGTCTCCGATGGAGAGGTTAGGGATACCATCGACGAGTTATCTGAAGGTCAAGAATTGGTTCCATTCGCAGACGGCGAGCACGCCGAGTGCTTCAACGCCGAGGCCGAACCAACCCTTCAGAGGGCCCGCCGCGGGGCCCGCGTCGTCGGACGTGAGAAGGAACCCGCAGCGGCAGGAAAACTAGAGAGGGGAATCTCGCATGAGTCGCGAGAGGCACAGGGTCGACGTACTGTGCCCGGGTCTCAGCCCCGTTCCCCGTCTCTAAGGGAAAAATCAGGCCCCGATGAGGAGGTTGTTGGATTGGTGGATAAGCACAAAGGGCCAGCTCAAGTCAAGAAAATTTTGAGCCGAGCCCGAGATCATCCGCTGGAAGAAGTTCGAAGACCCTGGTACAGGGTTAAGCGAAGGGAGTGTCCCGAAAAGATTTTGGTTCTTGCGCGAAAAAACTACAAAGTTTACGCGGACATTGGACCAACAGTCGGATTGATGAGCCGGGTGTTGTCTGTTTCAGACACCGGCGCGGAACCAAACCTTGTGCGAAAATCGGAACTCCCGGCTGGAATGGAATCTCTAGTGTCCTACGGACCGACCCAAGACATTGGCGACGCGAACAACAGGCCACTCCAGACTCTCGGAACCATCGAGATGCCCGTGAGGCTTGGACGATTTGTGGCTGCTGCCGAATTTATTGTGTGCGAAAAGCTCGCGGTACCGCTGATTCTAGGAGCGGACTATTGCGATAGGTTCGTGGGGGCTATCTACCCGCGGAAGAGGACAGTTGAGTTGGCGGATTTCTCGGAGGTTCCGATCGTAAGGCGGTTCTCGGCGAGAAAATCGAAGAAGCATCTGGTCCCCGGAGAGGGCGAAACTGATGCAAAAGGGGAGCGAGTTTCCCCCAGGGTGAAGGTGGCAAGAGCCACGACCATTGAGCCCGGGACGCAACACGTAGTCGAATACACCTGGAAGAGGACGGGTTTGGTCGTAGTTCAACCCTACGCACCCCTATACAACAAGCACGGGTTGGTGAGCACCAACGGTGTAGTTCAGGTTGAGCCTGACAAACCTTTTAGATTGCTTGTAGCGAATTTTAGAAATTACCCTGTCAGGGCTCAAAAAGGCCAAGTGGTGGCGGAACTACTACCGCACCCGAGGGCCGTATTCAAGACCAATTCCACCATTGGTGAGGTACTTGGAATTCAAGAAAGGGACGAGGAAAAATTTACTAATTCCACCCCGTCGCCTCCGGGCGAGAGAAGGTGCGAACCGTCGGAACAAGATCGCGAGGACCAGCAAGGAGAACGGGAGGAAGGGCTTTCCGCGACGGCAACTACGAAGCCGGAGCGGCGGACTGAGCCTCCCCCGCCGGACGTGGAGGAGCTCGACCTGAGCCACGTGCCGGGCCGGCTGCGCGAAAGATTCCGTCGGATGTTAAAAAGATATTCCCGCATGTGGGATGGGACCCTTGGTGAGATCCACACCACGGTCCACCGGATTGAACTGGCCCCAGATACAAGGCCAATTGCGCAAGCCCCGTATCGGGCCGGGCCTAAAGCCCGCGAAGTAGAAGATGCAGAAGTACAGAAGATGTTAGAAGCAGGAGTCATCGAACCGGCGCAGTCAGAATG